CCCCCCCCCCCCCGGGCGACACTATGTAGATGTAGGCGAGGAGTATGCTCTTCTTGATGCCCAGAGACAGCGTGAAAGGCCTTGTCGGCACGGTTTGCGGTGTCAAGACAGCCAGCGATACTTCAGTTTGGCGGTCACCACGTGTCTGCAAGTGTTACCGTAGAGTCCTCTGAGCGGCACAGGTTTGCAGGTCCGTGGACGACGAACCCCCAACGATGTTGTTCAGTATTGATTGATGTTGGTTTTCGGTTTGGAACCTCAGCGTGAAGCAAGGACGGCGCTTCAGTGTCGACGTCAACTCCGATGTGATGCGTGCGCAACGTACGCACATGACATCCAGTCAGTTTTGGCCACCTGAAAACGTAGGAGGGGGGGGCGAACTACGGATGAAGTCGGGGACACCTTTGCTGACTTACCCTCGACCGCTCGGAGAACCCTTGCGAACAAGGGGGTTCTCATGCGTGTAATTTTTGGATGACAACCGTGTAACCCCCGGGATGGAATTGACGAAGATCATCGAAGCTCGTCGAAGACATGGCAGCCCTCATCATTCCTGTGAACATATCCAGGGGAAAATGGTATAATATGTGCCGGTATGTATTCGTGGACGAGATTCTGCAGCAAACGTCGTCGACACTCGCCATGTCCACTACTCTCCACGGAACCCTTCACAGCGCAGCTTCCTTTGTCGGGAAAATGTCCGAAGAAATCCGACGATCCTTTGGGTTCGACCCGACATCTGCATTTTATCTGTTGTCCGAGCCTCAACCCGACTTCAAGCGTTGACTACTACCCGCGCTACACCTTCAGAGGATGGTCAGGTCTTGGAAAGGATTGTCTGCTTGCCTACATCATTGATGGGGTACGCTCGCTATTGGCACCTCATTGGTCGAGCAAGCTCACCATGGGCAGCCCGTGGAAGTTCCCACGACCAAAAACCCAGTTACCCATGATGGACACTCCTTGATGAGATTTTGGCTGCGTGTCCATGACGGGAACCCCTCAGGGGGCATGCCCTAGTACGAGCCGTGTCTGCCCAACATGTTCACCCCGCTGTTCGGTCGAACGCCGATACGTCTCAAGAGGTACGCGCCGGTTCCGGAATGAAATGTTTTTGACAGCACACGCATGGACTCCCTTAGCAGGTCCTCCTCCTGAACTTATCTGTAATTCCTACGTAACAGGTAATCAGCGACATCCCTGCGAGAATGTCTGGTGGCGAACGCATTTATTGTTGTCCTTGCCATTATTTTTTTCGCCTTAAGTTGCGCAAGTCACAATTTTCCGCAAGCCCTGTATGCACCGCCTGCCAAAAAACAACGTAAACCATTCCCCGCGAACGAGTTCCACTGTCACCCTGATGTACTTACGTGTTTCTATCGAACATACGTAGCACAATACAACATGAATATTGCAAATTACAGTACGCACAGTGTACAAAATTCACATCCCCACCTCGAGGACAGCCCGGGAAAAAAATACACTGAAAATGCACCTGTCCCTCTCTCTCTCTCTCTCTCTCTCTCTCAACGTTCCCACCAGCATTGTCACAAGATCACGCCAATAATTTCACACGTGATGTCATATTACTTCGCGTTGCTAACCCGCCCCCGTCCCCGCATTCGCGACGAGCATCGCAAACAAGTGCATTTAAAATTAAAAAGTGTGCCTGCTTCTGTCCCCAGAAGCCTTGGTTGGCGCGCGCTGGACACCATCTACCGAAATTTGTCATATCCCATGTGATTGAAAATGTCAGACTCGTCTGGGAAAAAAAACATATCTCCCCCATTTGTTACTTGCTGCGGACTTTTCGTCCTTGGGAATACCTCGCATTCCCCGAACAGTCTAACGTCTGTCCCGACAACCAAATGACTCTTGGAGCAAGGTTTCGGCACGCGCACAGCTCAAGACGAGAGTCTTCGCTTCGTCTACTACAACCATCGCCGACAGAGCTTGATCGCCCATCATGACACTTCCCTCGTTCGGCATTTATTTCGATCCGCTCGCCCCCCCCCCCGCCCGGATCAAGAACCACCGTGATCCCCCCATTTCTCTCCCATGCATCCCAAAACTTGGCTTGACGGATTATTCCGAAGTAGAAGGCCACATAGTTTCAGCATCCGGCGTACCGTACTTACAGTCCCGTGCAGGTTGGCCAACCGGCACCACACCATTAAGGAACGAACAAGTCACGGTCAACCTTATTAATCTGGATATCCATTGACTACAAAAACGCCACATATCCTGACCCCAGTGGAGTACCCCCCCCCCCCCTAGAAAAGCATGTCGAAAAATCTTTCCCCACACCAAAGGCATTGGGCACTTACAGGCCTCTCTTACCTACGTGTCTGCTGAGAGAGCATTTGTCGTTGCTACAATACAAAATTTCCCCATACCACTTCCCCTCCCCTCACGCTTTCGTGACGGTGTCCAGCGGGACCTTATTTTGCCGAATGCATGTCGATAGTTTTCCGAAGCAACCCCGGGGCTGTCAGTAAATCGCCCGATCCGAAACCACACGCAGGGAGAGAGCACACATGCCCACCCGTGGCAGTGCTAAACCGCACAAACCGCGAGCTGGGCCATCAAGACCAGAGAGAAATCGGTGCGGGTTCAATCGATGCCTCCGACTCCACCCGGCATGTCCCCTGTCAGGTAGTCGTCCCCCCGCCAAGGAGCCCCTCGTAGTATATTTGGATCCTCACCGCTTCTACCGTTGCTGCTGCTGCTTCTGCTGCCCCTGCCGCTCCTACTGGAACAGGCCGGAGAAACACGTGCGTCGTTCTACATCGCGACGGCCAACAGCCTGTCGTGCGGCTCAGGTCGTCGACGGTGCGGGTCGCTAGGCGGCGCCTGGACCGTGAGCGGCCATTCGTCCAGGTCCCCCATCAACGCGGAACTGGCATCGCGAGCGGCGTGGTCGTCGGACCGTTGCCGACGTGGAGACTGAGCAAGAGGTGATGGTGGTGGTGCCACCATGGGGCGCCATGGGTTGCCCGGCCTCATCGCCATCGTCTTCGTGTTGTCATCGTTATCGTCTTCGAGGATGACGTCGTACAACGGTTTAGTGTCCTCCGCTGCTGCTTCTCCGCCGTTCTTGTCGTCGCTAGTGCTTCGAGTGTGACTCTCACCGGGCGGGTTGTGGTCTGAAAGGGGCGGGGGTGCTCCAGGCTTGCTGTCTAGCTCGTCTTCATAGATCCATGCCGGCGGAAAAACACACCTGCCGCGGTGTTCGTAAACACGAAAGGTATCTGCTTCAGGGGATGACATTCGCGTGCATTGTTTATAAACCCAAATGCTGCATGACGGCGGCAGTTCGAGGACCCTACGATTTTTGTATGGACGTACAGTCCTCTCGAATTCCATACTCTGGGAAAAAAAGCCACGCACGGTGGCTGTGTTGATTGTAAAATATCCGTCTAAAGCAATAGACAACCATTTTACGCTCACGAATACGCCCGCCGAGACGTGTGAACCCGTGCATCGACGTCCACCGACATGTCCAAGAATGCATGTACGTTAACAATTATGTCGATTCGCACTTCAGTACCCTTCTCTGAAAGCTCCCTTCCCGGAATCATGCTAGAAAGCGCCTCAGGTGGGGAGAACCACACCATACTGGCAACAGCTGTCGCCTCAAAAGCGTGCGTAAGCATATCGATATGTTTCCTGTCCACCTCAATTTGCAAATGTCAAACACACCTGTCAAACGCGACGCAAAACAGGCGGCTGAAGATTGCGTTGGCTCGAGTATCAGGTCCGGCATCCTCCTCATCAGCGTGCAGGAGCTCGTCTTCATCGCATGGGCAGCAAGGGCTCTGGAAGCCAGGGATCTGGCAGCCAGCGATCTGTAGGTTCGCACCGGCCGTCCTCCTTTCCCTCTCCACCATGACTGCAGACTGCTCCACGCGGGGTATCCACGGCACGACGACGAGTCTTCACGTCGTAGGCAGCTTAAGCGAAAATCGCAGCTTCGTGCAACGCGGAACGCGCCCAATGCTGACCGCAAGAGACGACGAGTGGCCGCTGGAAATATTGGAGAGAGGGGCAACAGGGGAGAGAGCGAGACGACGTCCGGTCTCCATTAGAGTCTAACTGCAACGATGTTGTCGATCAGAGAACAAACCACTGCAATATACCCATGTACCGCCAACACTCCCCCCAGAGAATGAAGATTGCTGCACACGAGTTGGGGGTAGGTAACAAGTTGATATGGGTGGGGGTAGGGGCAGGTTTGCGTCGTTGTACAGGGCGTCGGTTGGACGGGTGGGTGTATATATATAGTTGGGGAAGGTGCACTGCTGTCCGAATGTTCCAGACCAAGTATAGACTACATCCGCGATAGCAGAGCGTACTGAGGCTCACATTGTTTTCGTACACAGCACTATTTCGACATGGAGGCCACCACGACCTCCCGCGGAGTTTTATCGCGCTGGCAATAATAGTACTTCCGCAATGTCCTTCGGAATAGAGAACATTGGATGTGGCATGTAGACTATATAGTATACCGAAGGAAAGAGAACATGCCTTGAAGTGCCTGCCAAGTGGGAACGAGATATTGAGTGTTGCATTATTTTGAATATCGCATTCTGTTGATTCTGGACATGTCCGTTTGATGATTTAAGTACTGGAAGACAAGCACAATCTTATTGATATTATTGTTGTTGCTGTCTTCTTCGTATAAACAAAACGTTCCGGTCTCTACTTAGTTCCCTCGAATATCTGCCGCATAAACTGACACGGATACCAATCGGTTCCGTGGATACAAACCAACCTATCCTACGAGGGCACACGCTCGAGAAACAGGACAATTTCAAATCGCCCATTCATCGCAACCTCCACCGGTCCTGACAGTTAGTTTGGGGACGTCCCATGGGACGATGGTGCAATCGGGAAGTCGCAATGGACACGCGGGACGTCCCATGGGAGGTCACATGGGACGGCCCACGCAGACGGCTCATTGAACGCGTGGGTCGCTCCACTAGGACGTCCCCGGGGCATTCCACGCGATCTGTGAGCAGGACGAAGACTAGATGCGTACAACCTACAGTTGTAGGTGCGTGGGCGCTACAAATTGTTTTCTTACGGCGATGAATGACATTCCCTTGACGTCCTACGCGTGTCCCATGGGCCATGGGTTCCTTAGGGTTAGGGTTCAGGGTTTTCGGCGGCACGGCAACACTACAATTGTGTACCTTATTGATAGGTGCCTTCGCAGGTTTTCTATTGTTGTTGTTGTTGTTGTTGTTGTTGTTGTTGTCGTCGTTGTTGTTGTTGTCTTCCGGTCTCCGCTCAGTACCTTCTAAAATGTCCGTACTGGTCCAACCGATGCGGACGTCTGCCGTGGTCACAAGCCAACTACCCCGAAAGGGAGTGAACTACTGCACAACTTTTACTAGTCTAATCAAAATAAATATAAACGGACCCCAAGAAGTCCTCCAAGACGCGATTGCTGTGAAGTAAAATATCGGTCGCCCCGGAAGTCAACCTTCTAGTGGTCAGCATTAGGTTCGAATCCCGGCGTATGCGAGCATTTCTTGCAACGTGAGTTTTTCTCTCGCTTTCGTTCCCGGCTCCGGTGGAAAGCTCTAGTTCATGAAAAGACAACACAGAGGGAAGAGAGTGCTGGACTCTTCTCGCATCCACAACCGTAGGCAAATTACCGAAGGGTGGGCAGGGGCCCCCAGGGAGAGGAAAACCTTCTGTGTGACCATGGGGAACCCTTCCGTGTGACCACGGGTTGGAGCGAACGGCACAGCAAACAAGTGCTGTGAGCGCTGATTTGAAGTGAAGCCACAAAAAAATGTTGGATGTAGCATGCTTTAGGGTTTAGAGTAAACCGGGGTATTAACGGACACCCCCCATTAACGGACAATATTTTCAAAAACATATCTTGCCGCTCACCCCGCGGAAAGTTGTTCTACTTCTTTTTTTTTTTGCTATGGAGCTCATCCTTCATTTAAGCTCAATTTTACCCAATTTGGTGATGAACTTCGTTTTAACAACATTCGGCCCCAGATGATGTAGAATTTTGTCATTTTTCTGCCCACGTGGTGGCTGCCGCTAAGCACTACAATCAGTACAACATTTGTTTTTTCTCCATGGGAATCTATGATGTAGTGTAGTGGCGTAGAGGTCTACGAAGCTCTTTGTTGTGTAGAGGTCGGACCTCTAATCCGTTGATCTCTTTGTTCCTACTTATTTTTTCGCATTTCCTTCTTTTCCTAGCTCGATTTCGGGCGAGAAAGGGGCCAAAAAGAGCCTCTGGATGTCATACAGAGACGAAACCAACTCCGACGGCACCAAAACTTTGCATAACGTCTGTTCTAGGGTTGCTTGCCACGACACTGAACGAAACGACGAGAAAGAAAACGCTCCCAACCTCTTTGCACGACGCCTAAAGTGGGCCTGATTCGGCCCATAAACAGGCCCAAAAAACAAGGGGATTCCTCGTTGTTGTCCCCGTATATTGGCGTTTTTTTTCTTTCTTTCCCAATGGCTTGGTAGTACCATCACCACGGCAAGTTTTGAAATGCAGTAGAACGTGAGAAATCACTACTAATGCAAAGTGTCCATTGATTGGCGCCGGGGATGTTATCCTCCGTTTTAGGGTAAAACTTCAGGTACACTGCAACAGCCATAACTCATCAACACTTGCGTGTTTTTTCTTTGTTTTTTTGAGAGGTAGTATAGCCTACGACATTGGCTACCGCTCGATACATTCATATGTCGAGGAAAACTGTTACAACGTAGTCAGACACAGTTTACCATGGGTGCGACTGCGGCAACTAGCCTTCCGTAGACATAATAATACACAACGAAGAGATGGTACTTAGCAGAGAACATGAGCACAGAGTTGTATGCATAGTCTAGCGGATATGATTTGGCAGGCGAGACTGTAGTCATTTCGTTGCTCCGAACCCCGAAATTCCGGTACTCGGGCCAATACCCCGGAGACCCTCGGAACCTGCTGTGTTTGCTGCTTGTTTTTTTTGTTTTGCTGTTNTTCCAAAGCTCGCTCGGGCCTACCGATCTCACGGCTGTAGACCAACCTCTGTGATAGGGCGGTGACAGCAGTGTAACCTCTGTGGTAGACTACAAAGTCTACGAGCTACAGCACCACCGCCACCTCCGCTGTTGCAGAACGCCACATTTTGTGATCATAAACTTCAAATTCGTTCTCACACACGAGAACGAGCTGTTGGCGTGGGAGAGGCTGAGGTGTCCGTTAATACCCCGGTTTACTCTAGGGGTTCTAGCGAAGGTGGTCCCTTTGATTCTTGGGTGCAGCTATCCTGTGGAAGGCGCCACGATAGTGTGACCAGTACGGGTGTTAGAAGGTACTGACAGAGCAGAGACTGGGATGGTAGTGTATGCCATGTACAGTAGTCTAAGACGACAACAAATTTAACTCCTGCTGTGGGAACCCTAGTTGGTACGCACATGCATGTCACCCCCGAAGAGGTAACTCCAGCTGGTATGTATCAATAAATACCCCGAAGCTACTGTAGAGCTTGGTGTTCAGCACGATGACAACTGCGACTACACAGCAGTAGTGGTCATCGTGCTGTCTATGCCCGAATCCGTCGAGAGTTCTTTCAAGCCACGAACACGTCCCCCCAGGCAGGGTTGCCATCCCTGTGATGCTGACAGATGGTCTACTACACTGCTGTGTAGTGGTCATCGTGCTTCTTGGCACTCAGGATATGGAGATGGGATGAAGATACACAACAAGAGAAACAAGGAGTGTCCATTTCTCTTGTTGAAGTGCGTCACACATTCAGCGGAAGGTGTGCACCTTACGATTTCGACGTTTTCGCGGTTGCCGAGACTGCAGAATGTCGAGACTGCTGCTGTACAGCAGTAGCACCCTGCAGTCTAGACTCGCCAGACTGGGACCAACGGGTTTGGGGCATTCTGCGCCTTCGCTTGAAAGCTGGTCAAAGTTTAGACTACAATATCTCATTTGTACCTTATTGCTGTTGTCTACAGCAGTATCTATCGAAGACTAAGACATTTACTTAGTATGTACAGCAGTAGACGGCGCGCGGTGATGGCGTCACGGTATCAGCATTTATATATATATAGTCTATATGCGTAGGCGGGCTTCAGGTGGCGAACGTTACCAGATATACACGAACAGTTTGGCGTGCACGCAGGTTGTTGAGGACTTCTTCAACTTGTAGTCTTCGGCACCGCAGGCCGCGTACGTACCAACATGGAATGCAGCACACACCTCTTGCAAGACTCGCAATGTACATAGGTACATAAGGACGCACGTACGTCATCTCGTCGAGAGGTCAACAGTTAAGAAGGAAAAACCCTCTCCGATCCTCCGATGAGGCGTCTCCTGTGTATACTAAACAGACCATAGACTATAGTTGTACCCGTGAGCTATATTTGCTTAACCGGTGGACCAATATGGTGGAGCCAGCTCACCTGGACAACGTCACGATCTCAATGGGTAATAAGTGCAGGGTCGCAGGGAAGAAGAGACGGCAGTAGTAGAAGAAGACAGACGAGGTTTTCATTTCGCGACTGCTGTGCACGTCGATGCCCATGGATATACGTGGAATGCGGTGGGATACCCATGGGCAGCGCGGGTACTATCAACGGAGAAAGGTTGGTCCGCCGGTTTTCCGTCATATCATCAACCGCACCTCTTCAAGCTGACGTCCACGCAACGTGCACTCCGACTCAACCCAATGCCGGCTGCTCCGTAAACGTATGGTAGGGCGAAGGCCCAGTCCAAACTTCCAGGAATGTATGCCATGCACATCATCAATTGAAGCACCGGCTCATCCGCGGTCGGTCACGTACTGACGTACGTACACGAACGTTCCTGGGAATGCATCATTGATCACATCAAGCACGGACCACTTGACCACATGCGGCGGAATTAAACAGGAAATTTTCTTGGTGCTGCTAGCGCGGCGCCTTTTTTTCGCACGATGCCGGAATGTTTTAGAGCGGGCAGGTAGATCCGCCTTCTGACAGGACGGGTAGACGCCCGGGGTATTTCTGAGATCCACGATCCGCGAGGGCTCGGCGGAATTAAACAGGGAATTTTCTTGGTGCTGCTAGCGCGGCGCCTTTTTTTCGCACGATGACGGAATGTATTAGGGCGGGCAGGTAGATCCGCCTTTTGCCACGTCCTCGCCGAAAAAAGGGTAGATGCCCGGGGTATTTCTGAGATCCACGCCCGTCAGATCCGCGAGGCCTTTTCTTCAGCGACCAGCACCTCCATACAGACAGAGCTGCCACTGTGAGATCGGGTGTCCCGCAGCATCTTTCACTTCACTTTGTCGTACATAAATGCCCGAAAGCGACCAATATGGAAGTACCGTTTATGACATGCTGGTCACCATGAATGTGTTGCTTGCCGCCGGTAAGTTTCAGTGCTCGTTGTTGTTGTTGTTGTTGTTTCTCACATTAGCTCTATAGTCCACAAAAAATGGGGAGCCCGTGGTCTCAAAACCCGGCACATACGACGCCGCGAGAAAACAAAAAACAAAAAATAGGATACAANTGATACGCCGGTCACCATGATGAATAGATTGCTTGCCACCCGCCGGAAAGTATCAATCAATGCTCACCGCCGGCCGAAACATTGGACCTGACTGACTCTTGGATTTGGCGGTCTCCATGTCGCGGAGAGCATGGTACGTGTGACAACCTGCTTCCTCCGGACTCCCTGGGCGGCTTCCGCGTGTTGCTGATGGGGTGTTCCTCGGTAAAGACGAATAGTTTCCACGAGTTTTTCAATGAGCAGCAAGAAATGGTTCCCAACCTCTGAAAATTTGCAGGGTTCTGCACGGAGCGGTTTTTTTCCACGGAGCGGAGCGGTTTACACCGCTCCGCTCCGCTCCGTGGGATTTTCCCTCCAGAAAAAACCGCTCCGCTCCGCTCCGTGACATGAACAAAAAAACCGCTCCGCTCCGTGACAATTTTGCCCTCGGATAAACCGCTCCGCTCCGCTCCGTGGGGCTTCCCAAAAAACCGCACAAGCGGTTTTTTCACGGAGCGGTTTGAGCTACTCCGTCACACAAGCACGGATAAAACCGCAATGCAGTCACGGTTTTTCCCACGGAGTGACGGTTTTTCTCCCACGGAGTCGCGGTATTTTTCTGTTTTTCTGTTCTACTTTTACAGCAGCCACACAAATAACCGTGCCCACGCACACAGCAGCAGTCCGTGCCACACACACATACACTCCGCGCAACGCACTCCGTGCACATCAGTCCGTGTGCACGTCTGCCTGATGGAGTCGACACCCGACCCTGGCGACCGCCCTTCTGGCGACCGCTCTTCTGGTGCTGCTGGTGCTGGTGCTGGTGCTGGTGCTGGTGCTGGTGCTG